TTGCATGAGTGCGTGTGTGGGTGCTAATTATTATTGAAATATCAGTTGCTTGTAGGGTTCAGGGGATCTCGTAGTCGAGCAGTCTCGACTAGAGCTTTCTTACTTGTTTTACTTAACTTTAATCGCATCGAAACAAAGGCGACGCTAAAATCATCTACATAAATTCATATTGCCAAAACGAATGTGCGTCATTCCGATCAGCGTTTGTGTCTCTCAACGGAAAATTTGTTACCTCAAAAGGTAGACATAGAAATTCACCATTCACCACAACGAACACAAACAGAAGAAGAAACAGAGAGGGGGAATGAAAGATTCACTGCTCTGTCGGTCGGTCCGTTTAGTACATTTGGCTTTGTATCACAACAGTTTTGGCGTTTTGTTGCTGTTGCTTGTTTTCACAGTTGTTGCTGCCTCTGTTGTTTGCTGCTACTACAACAACAACACCAGCAGCAGCAACAGCAACGACATGCAGCAAGATTGACAGCTCAGAGCAGCTGCGCTGCGCAGCATTTTCAGAGGAGCGAGAGCAATTTATTTTTAGCAGCAGCAACAGCGAGAGCAGCACAACGAGAGACCTCTCCAAAAGACACAGAGAGACACGACGATAACGACAAAAAGAGAGGACAGGAATGAGAGCGAGAGCGAGAGTATGCGCGCAAAGTGCACGTATGCAGGCCGCCTGATGCTGAGTAAATGAAATGAAATGCTAATTACAATAGGTAAGGGCAATTTCTTTTTTTTTTTTAATTCTCACCTGGTCGATCCAATGACTGTCTGCGACTCATTGGCAAAAATTTATGCGCCTTGTTTTATGCTTCGGGATACAGACAATTGCGGTTTAAAAATGAACAAAATTTAATTGATTCATTTGTGTTGATGTTGGTTGTCTTGTTGTTGTTGTTGCACGGTTGTTGATATTGCTTTAGACTTTCTTAACTTATACTGCTTATTTAATTCTATACACTGAAAACACACTCGGACGCACACAGAGACAGACATATACAAATTCACATTTTATTGCATCGACTGTTGAACATACTTTCTTTTTATATAGGATTTGCGCGCAACAAGAAACGTGGACTGAACTGATGTAAATATATGAAACGTTGTTTTACTTATATATGTATGTATTTATGTATGTAGCTTGGCGCAGCGGTTGGACGCCAGCGGCATAAGCTACTGCAATTTTGTGTGCTGTTTTGATTATTTTTCTTATTATTGTTGTAGCTGCTGGTTGCTTTTGTTATGTATTTTATTTATTTGAAAACAACTCGGAGCAGATGAACACACGAGACATATAAACACACTAATTTACGTACACACACATACACACACTCACACTCGCGCGTCACGTCAATGAACGCAGCAGCTCGTTGTTGTTGTTGGTTTTGATGTCGTCGTCACCGTAGTAATCACGAAATAACGCTTTTTACTCATATTTCTCAATGAATTTATTCACTTGTGCGTGTAACAGTTGTTTATTTACATATGTGCACTATTTTTGGAAATTTAATACACCGATATTTTGCATTTCTTTTTTCAATTTTATTTGTTACGCACGCACGAGCGTCTATACGAGCCATATGACGAGACCCGCCGACGAACAAAGGGAAAATGCTGAATGTGAAAAATGTCAAACATTTGAGAGCGAGCAGACTTTGGGTCTGCGACGTGTAAGTCGCGTGCGAGTAAACGGGATAGCTAGGCGTATGTTTTGTTAGACACTATTGTCGTCTCACTCGCGCGCCCTTTTTTGTAGTAGAGAAGAAAAACACCAAAACGAAACGAGAGGTTTACGAAATTCACAAAACATGCCACCAATACTTTGTTGCTTATATACAATTGTTATGCCGCTGACATTCTTCATTGCACTTTGTTTTCAGCATTTGCTGGCTTATAATTATTTTGTCTAAGCGGTAATATTAACAATCTCGTTGCAAAGATTTCCCGCACTTTTCCATACACGCAGTGCAGCACTTGGCACTTAATCTACGCTTTTTATCTATGTGTGCGTGAAAGCATTTTGCAGCTGCTCCAAATGACATTCTCAACGAGATGTTGCCAGACTGCCGAGTAGAGCGGCGTTTGACCATTCCGATAAATAATTATTTGTTATGGCATATTTACAACAAATTCGATATGACTAGTTTTTATAATAAAATACGATGTATAAAGAATACAGTTTAATATTTGTTCAGTAAATGCAACAAAAGACTACATATTTTTATCATGTACACGAATAAACAATTATCTTGAATAACAGCTGTGCAGAGTTATCGTTATGTTATAGCTCTGTTATCAACTGCTATCGCACTTTCACAACAACAAATCGATTGAGAGGTACTATCGGCCGCGTATAGGCGGAGGAAATAGCGTTTCTTTTGATCACAATATTTTTTTTATTTGATTCCATAATTAAACGCAAAAAGGTGAAGTAGAGCGTAGCCGCGAACAAAGGAACTGTGACCTCAAACAGAATGCTGCGGGCGATAGGCAAACGGGATAGAGACATATTTGACGAAGTATGGCCTGAGAAAAGAAAAATTGTGCTCAAGCTGCTGCGTCAGGAAACGGTGTCCCAGCTCGAATGGCAGGAACTCTTCTATGGTGTGCACTTCGTGTGCCTGTGGGACGAAAAGGGTGCTGCCAAAATATACGAAGGCCTTCAGCAAGACATTGTCGAATTTATTGTTCAGGCCCAATCCAAGGTACAAGCGCAACGGGGCGAACAGGCGCTTTTGGCCACCTACATTGTGGAATGGCGTAAATTCTTCACACAGTCCAATTACCTGCCGCTGCCATTTCGACAGTTAGAGCAGTCGCCGCAGGTGAAGCCCGCGTCCAGTTCCAGTTCCACATCGTCGTCGGCAATCGGTGGCGGCGGAGCATCCACCTCGAATGCCGCTGCCCTGATCAGCAATCAAGTACCCTCAAGCAGTTCCTCAGCCAAACCCTCAACGTCGTCAGCGGCAGCGGGTGGTGCATCCACTAGTGCTGGCGGCGCCAGCAATTCAGCTGGTGGATCCAGCTCCAAGAAGAGTCCCACCGAGGACAGTCCAGTCCGCAAGCTAATGCTGGACTCATGGAACAAGCATATCTTTCATGACATCAAGGATCGGCTACAGGAGTCCGCCATGAAGATTGTGCACGCTGAACGCAATGGCGATGCCTACGATGCTCAACTGGTAGTCGGAGTGCGTGAGAGCTATGTGAATCTGTCCTCGAATGCCGAAGACAAGCTGGAAATTTATCGTGAGTACTTTGAAAAGGCGTACTTGAAGGCCACCGCCGATTTCTATCGGCTCAAATCCGCCGAACAGCAGCAGGAGAACGGCGTGCTGGCCTACATGAAGTACGCGGATGCGAAGCTGCGTGAGGAGGAAGTGCGTGCTAAGCGTTACCTAGAGCCGAGCAGCTTTAACATATTGACATGCCGCCTGGTCAAGGTGCTCATTGTGGATCATCTCAATTCGATTATAGCCGAGTGCCCAGCGCTCATACGCGACTACGAGACGGAGCGTCTGAATCTAATGTTTCGCCTGCTCGATCGTGTGATGGATGGCGAAGGCGTCGAGGCAATGATGGGCGATCTGCAGCGACACATCAAATCCGCTGGCCTGGCCGACATGCAGTCCGCCTCGGAGATAATCACCCAGGACTCGGAGAAGTATGTGGAACGGCTGTTAGAGCTCTTCAATAGATTCAGCGACCTAGTGCGCAACGCCTTCAACGATGATCCGCGCTTTCTCACTGCCCGAGACATCGCCTTCAAAATGGTGGTCAACGACACCAGTGTGTTCAAAATGGAGCTGCCCACGAGCATTGCCAATCGCGGCGTCAAGTACACAGCGCCCGAGAGCAAGTGCCCCGAGCTGCTTGCCAACTACTGTGACATGTTGCTCCGACGGACGCCGCTCAGCAAGCGGCTCACCAGCGAACAGATCGACGCACGTCTAAGGGATGTGCTGCTCGTGCTGAAGTATGTCAACAATAAGGACGTTTTTATGCGCTATCATAAAGTCCATCTGACGAGGCGGTAAGTCAAAGCAACAGATTCTTGATAATAGATGGTTAGCTATAGATAAGTGCCCCATTAATATTCCATTACTCCGATAACTTACGGTTCATTGTGCTGTTTAAATTGCCACTGATAGCCAGAGACTCATGAACAACATTTAATATATAAATAATAACAATAACAATCGCTTCTTTTGCTTTAGCCTAATCCTGGGCACAAGCGCAGATAGTGAAAAGGAAGAGGATATCGTTGAATGGTTGCGCGAGGTGGGGATGCCAGCGGACTATGTCAACCGACTGGCGCGCATGTTCCAGGACATTAAGGTAAGTAGGCCCAATACTATGGCACTTGACTACTTAATCTAATCGGTATTATAATCCACATAATAAAACTAGGTCAGCGAGGATTTAAATACTCAATTCCGTAACTCTATAAGTCGGCATGATGCCATCAATATTAAAATACTCAATGCTGGGGCGTGGGCGCGCTGCTCGGAGCGCGTTTCAGTGTCGCTGCCCATCGAACTGGAGGACTATATACCTGATGTGGAGGAGTTTTACAAGAAAAAGCATTCCGGCCGTAAGCTGCAATGGTATCATCACATGAGCAATGGCACCATCACGTTTGTCAACAATTTCGGGCGCTACGATCTCGATGTCACAACATTTCAAATGGCTGTGCTCTTTGCCTGGAATCAGCGGCAACACGATAAGATCTCCTATGAGAATCTACGTCTGGCCACCGAGCTGCCCGGTTAGCGAACTTATTGAAATTTGCATTGAAAACACAAATGTCTAATCTAATTTTTTACTTATTCGACAACAGATCCCGAGCTACGTCGCACTCTTTGGTCGCTGGTCGCCTTTCCCAAAATCAAAAAGCAAATCTTACTAATGGAACCAGTTGCCATTAGTTCGCCCAAAGATTTCGCTGAGAACACAATGTTCTATATCAATCAGGAATTTGCAATTGTCAAGAATGGTAAATCCCAGCGTCGCGGCAAGGTGAGCTAAATATTTCTTATAGTGATCCGAATCACTAAAGCAACTTGTGCTCGATCCACAGCTAAATCTAATTGGTCGCTTGCAATTGAGCACGGAGCGATCGCAACAGGAGGACAATCAGTCCATTGTGCAGCTACGAATATTGCGCACCCAGGAGGCAATCATTAAGATAATGAAGGTGCGCAAACGCATGAACAATGCGGCGCTGCAGGTGAGCTCTCGACGCAATATTGAAATAACGAATTATATACTTAATAATTGATCATCTGCTTGCAGGCTGAATTGATTGATATACTGAAGAACATGTTCCTTCCGTCGAAGAAGATGATTAAGGAGCAGCTCGAATGGCTGATCGAACACAAGTATATGAGACGCGACGACGATGATATCAACATGTTTATTTATGTGGCCTAACTGTGATGGCCTTTGCGTCCTTGCCTAGTAACCATTTCCATATCCAAACCAACCCCCAAACACGGCCAACCTAATGTTTATACACTCATGATCTTCAAATTTTTAATTGGTCGCGTGCTTTAAGCTTGCGCTCTATATCTCATTCTCTTTCTATTTATCTCAATGAATCCCCATTTTCTTAGGATGCCTATTTGTTTAGTTGACTCTGCGTCCTGGGCAGAATTTTCAAAATTGAACAAATTGCTTTTTCCTGTTTGTATTTTGTTTTGTGTAAACGCGTAATTATATTTTATATTGGCCTATTGGCTGCTTGGTTAATCGTCTTAGGTATAATGTGTACGTAGTCGGTCCCTGATAATTAATACGAGGAACGTTAATCTATAAAACAGAAACACATTGCTTTTGCTGTTTTCCACTTATGTGTAGCCCTTGTTTATATTGTGCTTTATATTGTAAAGTCTTGTTATACACGGCAGACCCACACTCAACCACATCTCACCTTCAATACCCATGCACCCCGCACCCCGCATCCCATCACACGATTGGTTGATTGGGTTTGACTGTAGATCAAATATAATCGCTTCAAAGACACAGACACATACGAAGGCAAAACTAAAAATAGAATAGCAATATTATATGTTTAAGCTAATAAAATTATAAAGCATATAAATTGTATTTTAAATAAATTAAGTTTAAACACAAGACACTACATCTTCGGGGTAAATAAAACATATTGCATTAAAAATGTTGGACAAAAACAAAATGAATATTTTTTCAATTTATGGCAAAAGTCGTTGCGTACCTTTCAGGAAATTTCATTTTAGGACGGATTCCAAATTCAAAATTGAATATGATTTCAATATCATTTTGTAAAAAAGAAAAAACATTTGTTCCCTATATATGAGAGTTACAATCACGAAAATTCAGAGAGACAAATTAGAAACTGATTTTCCTGATAATAAATAATTATAGCTCTCTACCCTTCTGAAACATAAATTTCGTAATATTTTGCATTTTATTGTTGCCTTATATTTAGATCCAATATAATTTAAGAAAAAAGTAATATTGAAGTCCAATATCAGAGAATTTTTACAAAAAAAGGTTTTATTTGTAATGAACATAAAAAGACAAAACGAAAATAAATGCATGCAATATTTAACAAATGAAAGTGCGAAATATAAATAGATATAAAATGACAAATTTACATAGACTCCTGCAGTTGCAATCGCGACACACTTAAAACTAAATTGGACCAAGGACTGCTCGATTACATGACATATAAAGTAAAATACTTGATTTGCTTTTTAAAACATGTAAAACCTACCTAGACGAATACCTAATGCGAGTGGCACTACGAGCTATGAACCGATACAACTCTATATCTATATATATATAGCTATACTTAAATACTTTACTTATGCTTAGTTAATAGCTACTAGACTATGCTCGAATACTATTGAAGCGACTGCGGTCTACCCTGGCCGCTGCGCCTATCTGCGCTTGCGACCCTTCTTGTAGCCCTTGCCATACCAGCCGGCCTGGGTGCGGGCCAGCTTGCGGGGGAAGCTGTGGCTCAGCTGCAGCCGGCGCTTGGCCGTCTCGGCGGCGGCTATGTGTGCCAGCGATATATTCTCGTCGTAGTCGTCGTCATCGTCGCTGGTCGGACAGCACTCGCAGACGACAAAGCGGCCGCTGCGCGCTCGCTTCTTGTGCTTGCGCTGGTTGAGATGCCAGCGGCGATAGAACTGGCACTCCAGCTCCGCGTACCGATCGAAGCAGAACTCACAGCTGGCGGCAGAGCGATTCATGGCGAAATTGGGCACCACTTGCGAGTTCCAAATGTTGAGATCTGATGGGGGCGGTATCAATATGCTGTGCAGGCCCGAGTAGGCATATTTCGCATCGTACCAGCTGGGCAGTTGACGCAGCAGTTCGTTATCGCTGTGGCATCGCAGCAGATCCATTTGCGCCATGGCAAACTGCTCGTTCTCCTCTCCCTTCTCCTGCTCCTCCTCATCCTCCTCCACTTCTCTGTCGTCCTCGTCCCCGTCATCATCGTTCTCTGTTGTCGACTCGGCGGAGCAGGTGGCGCTATCACTCTGCAAGTTGAGCGCCTGCAGCGACGGCGGCAACACGAGCTGCGTCTGCATCAGAGGCTGCACGAAGGGTGTGTATAGCGGTGCACCAATCGGCACCAGCGGCGGCAACTGCACTTGTGGTAAGCTGGGCTCTAGCCGCAGCTCTACGGGCAGCAGACACATGTCCGGATAGATGTTCACGTCCGTGTACGGCTTCTGTATAGCGACTAGTTTGGGCAGCTCCGTCAGACCGTTCTTGTGCTGATGGCCATTTGTGGCTTCGCTGGGCATCTCCAGCTTCGGTTCCACTTTGGGCTCCACTTCCGCTTTGATGCTCGTGATTTCCACCTTAGCTTGAACTAACTGCTCCTCGACTTTCGTCTCTTGCTTCAGCTCGCAGATCGTCAACGTTTCCGTCTCCGTTTCCGTTTCAGTCTTCACTTGGACATCCAGCTCCGATTCGGTTTTCAGCTGCAGTCCATCTGCCGGCTTCGTCTCCTCGGCACTATCGTTTGGCGGTGGTGCATACTTTTGTCGCATCTCCAGATTAGTCTTAACCCGCCGTCCGTTTTTTATAGGCGTCCGTATGCGCGGACCCCTGCCAATGGGCAGCTCGCTGTAGCTGTCGCCGGAAATAGTTGAGTCCTGCGTCTCCTCGGTGGTCGTTGTACAGGATTGTGTATCGCCCGCCTCCTCCTCGTCGGCATTCTTGAGCAACGGCTGCGTCAGGGTGTGCAGCTCTTCGGGCATTAGAAGCGTGGCATGCGCGAATATAGGATCCTTCTCCTTGCTGTAGACGGGCACAGTTATGTTCAGCAGACGCATCAGCTGCGCCATGACGTTGTCGCACTTGCCGTTGATCTTGATGCTGGCTATGCTGTCTTTGGGCGTCCACTGCAGATTCACCACACAAATCTTGGCGCGCTGCCGCTGCGGCTTGTCCATCTGCCAGAGCCAGGTGTATTTCTTCAGAACCTTCAGACTGGAGCCCAAGCAGAGTATCACGTCTGCCCGCTCAGCATGATGGGTGGCACCGTCCCAGTTCAGCGGCCACTTCACATTGCCGCGCTCGCCAAAGTGCACGATGGTATCATAGAGCGGCTCCGAGCACCTGTGGCACAGCCGATGTGTCTTGTGGCAGTAGCGGGCCGTCATCTCGGTCACATCGAACTGGCGCCAGTAGATCGCGTTCGGCTTGCAATGCTTGCACACCTCCACATACATGTTGCCATGTATCTCGGAGAGGGACTGTCGCGGTAGGCCGGAGCGTAGGTGCAAACCGTCGCAGTTCTGGGACACGACGTGCTGCAGCAGACGACGTCGATGCAGTTCGTAGAGCGCCATGTGGGTGAAGGTGGGATTGGCGCTGGACAGATCGTGCTCTCCAATGTCCTTGCCCTTTTGCAGCAACGTCCAGATGCCCTTGCTGCCGCGGTAGTCGGGTATCAAGGCAGCGGTGCTAATGCCGGCACCGGTGTAACAGATTAAATGCTTTGCCTGCGATATAATATTGGCCAGCTGCTCAACCTTTGCCTCAATAACGTGCGGTTCGTCCTCCTTCTCGACGATGCGCTCCTTGTATATCTCGATGCGCTCCTTTCGTTTTTTCGTCGCTTTCACAATATCCGGATGCTTGTCCAGAAACTGACGATCCTCGACGGTGCGCAGCGAGTCGCATTTGCGTAAAATTAGCGAAACCTGCACAAAATGCATATATTAATATTAATGCCGGATCAATAATGCAATAAAGGCAAGCCAAGAAACGTACGCACTAACACACTATCACAAATACATACATACATATATTCACATGCTAGTCACAAGTAACGACTGTGAGTGTTTACGCACACATACACACACACTTCTGCACATGTTGGTTAATTACCTTTCGCATCGCATCCTTTCGTCGCCGTTTCTCATTATCTTTTTTCGCCGGATTCACTTTGGCTCGCGTCTTATATGACTGAATGGAATCAGACGTGATTGGCTGCAGTTCGTCCGGCTCCATGTTTGTGCTTAAACTATTAGATTTTGGACTCAATTCGACATACATGTGTATGAATGTGCGTCGCAAACGCACTTTAAAAAGGGAAAGGAATTGACGCGCAGCGCAGTTGCAGCACTTTGACGGCTAGCAGCACATTAACTTGATGCTATATTACTTGATTATTTACATTTTATTTGTTGAACTTTTTTTTATTTCTTGGCGCGTGCTATTTTTGTTGTCTTACCACAACTTTAACAAATGTACTTTTTTCTTTTTTTTTTGTAAACAACAATAGTGATGGACGATATATTTGTGTATTATATTCATAGATATTTTAAAGTATTGAGTAACGAATAAAGTACTTTTTAGATACCGAGATTGAAATTAATTATTATAATTTTCATATATATTTATTTCATTAAATTGTTAGTTTTTAGCAAGGCGTATATATATTAAAATAAATGTAGTTAGTCAAGTACACTTTGTTAAAAATTGAGATAATTCACTATTCATTCCAAGTTGCCGAGCCTTGCCAGATCGTTAATAAATAACCATTCAAATTTAAAATATTCTGTGGTTAATTACTGCTTATAATTATTGTGTATGTATTGCTAAAAATTTGCCATAATATGTGTAATCCAATCCAAATAGTTATACACGCGCGTATAAATACTGGGAATTCTCGGTGTACCGCAGGCAATACCCGCCGACGTAATGCCCATCACATGGTACATACACGGATACTCCTTGTGGTAAACAAGAATAGGTCCACCAGAATCTCCGCTACATGTATCCATTGCCCTTGAAGAGCCCACGCACATTTGTGTGACCGGCTCGAATCCGCGTGGATAGTCATCGCTTCTTCCAATAACGCGTCGACATACCTTTTATATAAGAAGGCATTATTAACGTAGTATTAAGGTAGGGAATATCGTATTAAATCTTACATCATCTGCAATATTATTGAGCTTGACTTTCAGCAGCCTTGCCGAAGATTTGCCCGCGAGGTTCGTGCTTCCCCAGCCGACGGCTATAAACGACGGCATGTTTTGGCCACTCTCGAAGGGCAGGCACGCCGGATGTTTGTATCGATCGAATAGAACGCGTTCGGCCAGCTTAACCATGCCAATGTCATTATAGAGCTCTGGACTGATAAACTGCGGGTGTCGGTAGTAATTGGCCACATCATAGTTTCTCGGCGATGCATCCTCTTGGTCATTCTCGAAGTCCAAGTCACCCAAACGAACCACGTTCAGCTCTCCCCTAGACAGATTTGATGCGCCTAAAGTCACGTGCACGTTGTTGATTCAATTACTCACTGTTCTGACTCAAAGCAATGGGCGGCAGTCAGCACGAATCTGTCGCTAATCAGTGTGCCGCCGCAGAACCATTCGATCTTCTGCCGCTCCCACTCGCTGCGGTGTCCGAGCCGCGCCATATGCGGAAATTCCTTGGGATCGGCAGGCTGACCGCCCACAATCAGGGGTGTGTAGCTGAGACAATTGTCAATCGTCTCGTACATGACGGGCGCATTGGGGAAGAGAAAACTGTAACCAACCTGCTCCTCGAAGACGGACTTCTTGTAGCTGGTGCAGGCTGTCGATGAGAGAGACTCTGGGATGAATTCTCTCTCTGTGCAGATTTTTAATTTAACATACTTCTGACAATGTCGTTGATTTGACCCAAACTCAGGTGAATTGGCAGCAGTGCCAAAAGAAGAAGCGCCCGTCTTATCCACATTCTCGAATTGAATTTGCTTATCAAATACACAATGGGCACGTTGTTGACCGGTTTGACGACAACAAACGCCTCGAACTTGGCAAAGCCCTCAACAGCCGCTCGCTCGCTCTCTCTGTCTCTCGCGAGCTGGACTGGTTTGCAGTTGACAAGCACCCGCGCAGTCGGCTGAACTCGGACTGATCAGACATCAGCTGTTTCAGCTCGAGAGTATACCCAAGAGTGAGGCAGAGGCAACAGCGTCAGTAGATACTTATAGAATATGATCGACAGCAATCTCGATTTTTTTATTATTGACTAAAGACTGCAGTTTACACATTAATTATTCAAATTATTAATTAGATATGTTCTCAGAAAACACAGTTCTCTCATGAAATATTCGCCATCTCCCGTTTAATCCAATCCAAGTAACTATGCACCCGCGTATACAGACTTGGCACATTGGGCGTGCCGCAGCCAATGCCCAACGAGGTGATGCCCATGACATGATACATGCACGGATATTCCTCATGATAGACCAACAGGGGACCGCCCGAGTCACCGTTGCACGTGTCCTTGGAGCGAGCGGACCCAACGCATAATTGTGTCGTCGCATTGTAGCCGCTGGGCAGCTCGTCGACATCGTCGGCCGTCAGGCAGCTGTCGCGGAAGCCGTTGAGCTTCACTTTTCTCAGCTTGCTCGAGGGCACTCCGGCAAACGTGGTCTGACCCCAACCAGCGGCAATGAAGCTCTCGTAGCGATCGCCATCATTGAAGGGCAGGCAAGCGGGATGCTTGTAAACACTGAAACGCACACCGCGATCCAGTTCGACCAGCGCTATGTCATTGTACAGCACTGGGTACTTGAAGTCGGGATGCTCTGTGGTGTTCCGCACGCCAAAGTCCTCAGGCTGTGCATCATCCTGCTCGCTATCAAAGTCCAGCTCACCCAAGCGCACCACATTGATGGCGCCGCTGCAATGGAGTTGGATAGTTGAATCGCTTAGGCAGCCTATCTCACTCACTCACCTCTCCGAGTAGAGACAATGTGCTGCAGTGAGCACCAGCCGATTGCTTATCAACGTGCCGCCACAGAACCAATTGGTAACATTTTTGTCATTGCGATTGCCCAAGCGCGCCATATGCGGAAATTCCTTGGGATCAGCAGGTGTTCCGTCGACTATCAGTGGCGTGTAGCTGCGGCACGTGTCCAAGGTCTTATAGGAGATTGGCGCATTTGGGAACAGAAAACTGTAGCCATCCTGCTGATCAAAGACGCTCTTCTTGTACCGAGAACAAGCTGTCCCAGAGAGAGTGATAGAGGGAAAGAGAGACGCTCGTCCATTACTAGATCTGCTATAGATTTATATAGACTTACAGCTGACAATCTCTGCATCTTGACCAGCTATCAGTCGCTCCGAAAGGTTGCAGCTGAGCAGCAGCAGTAGCAGCAGGCACATTTGTCTCCATGGAATGACGCTATTTAAACAATTTGACGCTTCCATTATTAATGCCCAGCCGCTAATCACAACCGACGTCGAGCTGGGCGCACAATCAACTGCGAAGCGAATGTGAAGCGATGAGCGCTCGGAGCTGAGATAATCTTAAATGCATATGTATTTGTGTGTATATCAATAAGTGTATATATGAATGCACATTTGATGATAAGATGAGAATCTGGTTTCCAGCATCGCCCATACAAATATTTATTGTATGTTTGTATGTGATCTGTGACTGATCTTTTCCTGCTTATTTCCAATTTAATGCATGCAATGTTTTAATATTTAATTAATATATGTACATACATACATATATATAAAATATCTAAATATATATTTCTTGAAGATGATGGTCTACTATTTAACTGCTTTTGGCCATCTCCTGCCTAATCCAGTCCAAGTAGTAGTGCACCCGAGTATAGATGCTGGGTACGTTTGGGGTCTCACAGCCAATGCCGGATGAAGTGATGCCCATGACGTGATACATGCATGGATAGTCGTCATGGTAGTTTAATACCGGACCACCAGAGTCGCCGTTGCAGGTGTCCTTCAGCTCGGGTGAGCCAATGCACAGCATGGTGCTCGCATTGTACCCGTTGGGCAGTTCGTCCAGATCCGTGGTGGCCAGACATCTAGTGCCAAAGTTCGTAAGCTTCACTTTCAGCAGTTTAGTCGACTCGCGGCCCGCGAATCGCTTGTGACCCCAGCCAATGGCAATGAAATTTTCACTGCGGTCGCCATCAACGAAGGGCAGGCAGGCCGGATGCTTATATACGCTGAACTTTACAGCTCGATCCAGTTGCAGCAGGGCAATATCATGGTAAAGCCTTGTGTAATTATATTCCGGATACTCAATTATCTCCTGCACAGCAAAATCCTCTGGTTCTGCATCATCCCGCTCGCTGGCGAAGTCCAATTCACCCAGCCGCACCACATTTACTGCGCCACTGCAATGGGAATACATTGAAATTATTCTTTGCATTTCATCTAACTCGCATTGCTCACATTTCCGAGTAGAGGCAATGGGCTGCCGTGAGCACTAGGCGGTGGCTTATCAAGGTGCCGCCGCAGAACCAATTGGTGTTGTTTTTCTCATTGCGATTGCCCAGACGCGCCATTGGGGGAAATTCCTTGGGTTCGGCGGGTGTTCCGCCGACTATCAGCGGTCGTGATCCATGGCACGAATCAATAGTTTCCCAGCGAACGGGAGCATTAGCGAAGAAGAAACTAATCGCAACTCGTTCCTCGAATACGTCGCGCTTAACCTGAGTGCAAGCTGCAGATGATAATTAATGATTAGATTGATGCGTTAATAGTATAAGTTTGCAATATTTACTCTGTTTCGCTAATGCATCCGGATCTTGGCACAGTACGAACGCTACCTGTAGCGACGCGAACAGCAGCAAACGGGCTGCGCTCACCTGTGGCATTGCGGAACTCTGAACTTGATTTCAAAGAGGTTCGCGCCCGACTGATCGATACGAATCGAGTAACCTGATTAACAAGCTAAAAATTAAGCCGGCGTCAAAAATATTCACTAATATCTCTCTTTCTGTCTCTCTCTCTCAATCTGCTCACGTATTGTCGAGTAAACTGTATTTACAATCCATTAGGCATAAGCTTACAAAATGATCTTACGTTTGTATTGTATGCGAACATACATTAGTTTAATTAAACAAGAATTCTTAAGATAATTAAGCAAAGTTTAAAGCACTTTGTCTTAGTTAAAGTGTATGCCAGCCGAATTGAAAGCCAGCAATAGGCGCATAAACTCATCGATGTCCATAGAACGCGCGCGAGACCCACTAACGCCCAGTTCCTCCAGTATACCCATGACCTTCTCCTGCATATTAAAGTTTTCTTCAATTGGCTAAAATGGCGAAAGGCATGAAATATAAGTTCATCAATCAGCTATAAGGAAAATTTCCGTAAGTACCTCATTCCTCAGCGATCGATATAATCTGTAATTTTTCTCGAGCATTTCCATCACAGAATTCACTTTAAATGTAGCAGCTAAAGTTTTGTTTTTGCGTAGGAAAGCTATGCGAGTTAGGCCATCCCATTCGGTAAAGTTGATAGGCGGTGGGGGATTCTTCGGTTCTAGACGCACCACGCTCGACTCCACCTTGGGTGGCGGCTTGAAATTGTTTTTGCCGACTTTCATTAGCATGTCCACTCGGGCCAATAGCTGTGTATTGATGCTTAAGCGGCAGTAGAGCTTGTCACCTGGCTTTGCGACCAGACGCTGTGCGAATTCCCGCTGGAACATTAACACGGCACAGCGAAACAGTGGGCGATGCAGCAATAACTTGAAGATCAGTGGCGAACTGATTTGGTAGGGCACATTAGCAATGCATAGGTCGAAGAAGGGTAGGTCAGCTTTCAGAAAATCACCGATAAGCACCTGTAGTTTAGGCTGCAAGGGTGTGCCCTGGACACGTTTCTGCAGCTCGGCGGCCAGGCGTGTGTCAATTTCGCAGGCAATCACCTTTTTGGCGCGCTCCAGCATGCGCACAGTCATGTTGCCTGTGCCAGGACCAATTTCCAGTACAACATCGGTCGCTCGCAGGGCCGCTTTCTCCAACATAGTCGTTATGACCAATGGATTTTTCAATATATGCTGACCAAAATCCTTGTTAAACACAATGCCTACAAAGCAGTTGCCAATATAGTTATTACGAAATGATTGCATTTAAGTTGAATTACCTTGCTTTTGCACCTCATTGTGGACGCGACTTTTCTTCTCTGTTTTTACTTTTGGCATGTTCAATTTGTAAATTAACTGAAAATACTCAGTCCCTGTTGCTGCAGCGCAAATTTGTTTTGCTTCGTCTGCTTTGCTCGTTATATTTGGTGCCATGTGCACAGCTCAGAGTTGCATTTGTGCCCGGTGCTGCCAGATCGCTGGCTGTTTGGCGCCAAGCGTTATTTTTGAAATTATCAGTAGGAAATAATTGACTCAGTTGATACATTTTTATAGGTGTTACCTCTTTATTTATTAATTAGTTTTCATTTTCATTAAATCTTCGCTTAAAATTATAAATCAATTTTTAGTAATTTTGTGTTCTTTGGTTATCTTTCCGCCCATCATTTTACATTTTGTCATCATTTATTTAGTTACTTGAATAACAACTCACTGTCTTCTCTTAGTTCAATTCTTTTTACAACATATCAACGTTGGTTTTTTACTCTTCTTTGTAGCTTATTTATTCATTTATTTAAACATAACTTACAGATTATTTTTGTCTCAATATAATTTTGTGGGATTTCATTTAAATACTTTCTCCATTTGTTTATTATTCTTTTAATGAGTAGTTTCTATTTTCCAATTTGTGTTTGTCTTAGGTCAGTAACGATTTAAGATTGTTGTTATATTTGTTATTCTCTCTTTTAATTTATATGTTGTCTATGTATAGAATCTAAATTGCAGAAGGTACATGAAAAGGTGTATCCGTCAGCATGGCATTTGACTTGTATGTAATTACTAACCAAACTACATATGGCTAGTAACGTAACTAAATCGACATTACAAAACGTTTCCCACTTCAGTTTGTAGAGGTTGTTAGTCAAGCGATTTTAGTGAAAATTTATCAATGAGAGAGAGAGTTACAGTTACAACATAAGTTTAATCATGCTCAGCAGTATCCATTATCTGGCAATAAGCAACAAAAGCTCTTGCACTGCTGAGCTGAACCTTGGTTGCTGCTAGTCAACTACTCATCCAATTCATTGCGTGGGTCAGCACAATTTATTAATTTCGATAGGTCTAGTTCTTGTTCGAGTTAATACAGTAGTTAGCCAAACAAAACGAACAAAAGAATCAACAAAAAGGCGTTACAATTTAAACTTTTGTTCCTTCAAACGTTGCTCTACACCGGGCCGTGTTGATTTGTTTTTAATGAGCTTACAGCTAAATTTCTGTTTTACAACTTGTTCTGTTTACGTTTTTCATTTAATTTTTATTCAGGTTACACGTTACATTTTTGTTTTCCTTTGTGTTTGTGTTTTTTAAATGTATTAATTATTTTCCTTGTTCTTCACATTGCGCTTCAACTGCTTCCATTTCAAGTTCGGTAACAACCCATAATTTTTACTTTTGTATTTTATTTGCTTTTCCCTCCGACCGAGGCGTCTTCATAGGTATAAACTAGTTTTTGTTATGGCTGGAACCGTATGTGTAAATTTGTGATTATTTGCATTCTTTTTTTTACAACTGCGACTTTGAACTAGTTTGACGCATTCTTTTCCGTTTTGTTTGTTTTTGCTTTTGTATAAATTGGTTTACATATGGTTTACATTTGTCCTGTCTTCATTTTAGTTTAGTAAAATGCGGTTTTGAGAATACTTGAGGTTAACATTTAAATGGGTATTAGAGCCTTGGCTCTGCTTGCTATTTCATAAATATATTATTTTAATTATACACTTGGGCTTGTTATCTCATTACATACAAAGTTTCATTTTGTTTTCTGTTTAGTTAACAATGTTTCTTACAATTAGTAATTTTTGCTATATACTGCCATTTGTTGCATACAAATTTATCAAACTTAGTAATCGGCAAACAATTTGCTCTCCTGTAAATGCAGTACAAGATTCATTAAAAATTCAATTATTTAGATGCTCTCAAATCAACAAAAAACTAAAACTAGATTTTTAAAAATGTATATATGTATATAAAGTATATATATATATATTTTTTCAACACGAATAATTGAAATCATAAAATCAAAACTAACAAATTTCGATGCCATATAAATGGTTTCCATTTGTTCATTTAATTGTTTGTATTTGCTTCTTTTTTATTTATGCAAATTGTATTTGTTGTTTGAGTCTTTGGTTTTAAAATCAACACATATATATTTTTGTTATTTTTTCTTTTTTTTTAATATTGGTATTATTTCATACATTATCTCTGTTTATATATATAATTTGTTCTGCTTTGTATTTGTTTTACAGCTTTAACTGCATATATTTCACATATACTAGATTAACTCTATGCACATATAAATAATTTTATATATATATATATAAAAGTATGTATGTATATAAATATATATGCATATTTATAAGCATATATATATACATACATACATAAATATATTGTTATACTTTTATACTTTACTGAAATTTAATATGTTGTCCAACTTATAGGCTAAACATATTTCGGTTTTTGTATTTAATTTGTGTTCCATAAAATATATATGAATTTAAAATGTGTTTATTTGGTTTTCATTTTAAAGTTCTCATTTTACGACTAAGCTTAGTTCCATTCACTTTTCATTTTATTGTTTAGATTTCTGCATTTGTTTAGCTCTGTTTTTGTATGTGCGAGTTTGTGTGTTATTTTTGGCTTTATTTTACTTTTTAGTTTTTGTTATATTTATTTTTGTTTTATGTGTTATTATATTATGTTGTATGTATAACAATAAGTTATTTTAAAATAATATCGCTTTAATACTTGAGAAGGAAATTGTGCAAGAGTTCGAATACGCATAAACTTGTTTTCTTCTTTTCTTTTTATCATCGTATTTTCTTATGTTTACAGACGGCTTTTTGAATTGCGATTCGCATAGGATAGCGCTGTTGCGAGATGGCTGTCTGCATTTGGGTGCGAAACTTGAGATTCAGCACATTTATAAATAAAAAACTAATAACAAAAAGCATGGCGCTGCATTTGCAACAACATTGACTAGATCAGGACTTCCTTTTTTTTTTGTTTTTTGGCAATAATAATTGTTTTTGGTAAGGATTGTGGGATAAAGGTAGGTAAAGCTGCAAAAATAGCGCCTTGCTTTGAGAGGCTTTGAGCATTACAACGAGCAAAAGCGATAGATTTGTTGAAATAGAAAGATTGTGCGATAAATAAGAATAAAACTATAAACAAACAAATTCTTAAAATTAGAGTTTGCCTGCGTATCCGTGTGTCTGTGTATGTGCCTAAGTGTACGTGTTTGCAAACAATTTTATAGTTAGTTTTGTATTGGCACTGGGCGTAGTGACTATAGACTATAAAATCCTCCACGCATTTCTGAATTCATATATATGTCGTAATTACAGTAGGTGTAATCATTTCTATCTATATATAACTTGCGATTCTCAGCATTTCATTTAGCATTTGCGTTTTTAGTTGTGATTTCTTTATAGAACTACGCTTTCGTAATTCCCAACATTTAACTTAAAACGATAAAACAGACAACTAAAGTGTTAAAGACCACAACTGGAAACAGACAACAATAAAGCGTTCATAAAGTAATCAACGGAAGCAAAGTTTTTAGATTCACGTGCTAGGGAGATAAGCTAAGTCTAGGAATAGGCTAAGAGATTAGCATAGGGTTACATGTAATTAAAACCCCGGCAACGAAGTGCCAACTGCTTAAAATTTCAAGTGATCCAGTTTGCTGGTTTATTTCCCGCCAACACTAAGCGCATATCCAATCCAATTATCCAACGGTCGCCGCTTTAAAACACCTTGCGCTCCGGCCCAAACTTGGGATTGACAAATGAGAAGCCGGCGAACTCATCCTGATTAATGCAACGAATGACATCATTGCCAATTGGTGTTAGCACAGGCTCCTCTTTGGTGAATTCGGCATCGAAATTGTTGGCATCACGTGGGTTTTTCTATAAAAGGAAATCGAAAGGTTAATTAGCTTTCTGGCCTCCACATTTACGAGACATACCATTTTTGGTCGGAATGGTGGCTTTATGTTGCGCTTCTCCAGCTCCTTCCAGTCCAGTTTATTGAAGAATGCATGCTTACGGATTTCATTCTCGTCACCTGTACAGCCCAAACGCTGCTCTGGGTTCTTTGTGAGAAAACCTAGAATGGAGACAGTGCACATTGACAACGTATAGATTGCTATTCTTATGTGTAAGGTTAAATCTTACCTTTCAAGATGGACACGGCTTCGCGGGACAACCACACGGGGTAAAGCACATCATCGTGCATTATAGAGTCGAAAAGCTCATCTTCATTGTCAGCCTCAAAAGGAGGCTGGCCAGCCATCATCTCGTACATAAGAACGCCCAACGCCCACCAGTCCACGGATGCGCCGTATTCTTGTTCCTTGAGAATTTCGGGGGCAATGTAGTCGGGTGTGCCACAGAATGTCGTGGTCAACATGCCATTCATGATACCTTCCTTGCACATGCCAAAGTCAGCGAGCTTACAATGCCCCTCCTGGTCGAGCAGTATATTGTCTAGCTTCAGATCGCGATAGATAACGCCATGGGTGTGGAGAAACTGCAGGGCAAGAGTGACCTCGGCGGCGTAAAACGCAGCACGGCCCGCTTCAAAACGGCGCGCCTTCTGTATTTGAAACATCAAGTCACCACCGTTAACATATTCCATAACAAAGAACAAGCGATCTGGGGTCTGAAAACAAGAATGTAACGCCGTGAGGAACGGATGGTTGGCGGCCAGGGCCAAGATGCGTTTTTCGGTCATTGTGCAGTCAACATCATCATCCTGTATAATGGCATCCTTCTTCAAGACTTTAATGGCATAGATCTCGTCGGTGCCCTTTTTCTCCGCCAGCATTACTTTGCCGAACGAGCCCTTGCCAAGCACCTTAATAAAGTTAAAGTCTACTAGGGAGCACTTGCCAGGACGGGAATCTCCGCCACCCACGGCTAGGCTCATGCAGCTGCTGCTGTTGTAGCCGCTGGTCAACGTACTCGTTGACGTGGCCAAGCTATCAGCGGACAAAGTGCCGCTTCGAAATGAGGCACCTGGCACACCGTCGCCCCCCTCACCGCCCAGTGAAGCTCCATAATTGTCTTCTCCACCTGGTTGACTCAAGTATTTAGAGCGTCGCGGCTGCTGGCCCTGTTTATCCGGCGAGATGCCCAGCGAACTGAGTATCTCGGCCATTTGCTTGGTGTTGATGCCGCAGGTATTGGCCACATTCTTTTGGCACCGTTTGTGGACGTTCATGTAACATGTTTCGCATTGCAGGCCCTGCTTAATTAGTCCATAGAGCAACGAGCCGCAATGATCGCAGAATGTGAAGCGCTTGTAGCTGTGCACCACAAATCGATGCGGCACATTGACATTGAACCGCTGCCCTGCCGGCACCACTTCCACCTTGGCTTGCTGTAATTGCAAACAAAGTAATTGAATTATTGAACACGACAGAGTAAATTGATTGACCTTCATACTAACCTCGTCGCGCATACCAGGACATTTGGAGACCACAGACAGATGGCATTTTTTATGTACAACTAATGTGCAGACTATAAATGATTAGATCAAAATATAATTTCATTAATCGAATCGTTTAATAAAGATTTCATTTAGAGTAGTTGCAAGCTGTACGACTTATTATCCTTAGCATTTGAGATGAAGTGCAAGATAACTCAGGTCACAGCAGTGCAGCAGTCAATTTTAATTGAAATATATGTGATATTTACAGAGTTACCATTGAAATAATTAATTATGTTTTACACATTCAGAGGTTAGACACACTGAGAAATTAGCATATTTGACGAGCTGTTTCACATAACATCAAATTGTGTGTTGGGTTTGTGTGTAAGAAAGAGTAAATGTAGTTGGTTTAAATAACTTTTGTCACTGGTCAAATGCAAATTAGTTTTCGTCATTTAATGGACAGCAAAAGAATTATTTAATCACATATGTGCAACTTGCTGCTGACGTGCAAATTGTCCAGAAATTAATAATATTATTAGGTGTCCCACAGTGTTTGAGCATCAGCAAACAACAATCAAATCAAAACACAAACAGATTAGCAACTTTTTCCACAACGTTAACAGAACAATATTGGAATATATAAGAGTTGTTTCATTAATGTATAATAATGTATTGCATTAAAAAGATGTATTTTTGGAAACCTAGTTAAATGGTGTAGAATGGTGATAGTAGAAATTTGTCACTTTTTCTCAAAATATATCTATTTAACATGTTTCCTATCAACCCTCGTATCAGACAATCTCAGTTAAGTCAGTTAACTATATTCAATTGCCATAAACATAGCCACAGTAGCAGAAGGCTAAAAGTCTAATTGTTGTCTTTCTTTATCTATTCAGCGATAACGAACCCAAATACATATAAATAACTTGCGTCATGAATTACTTGAGTTGATCACTTAGTAACTAAAAAGAGCCTACTCCTTACTTTAAGACTTCAAGCCTAATATTAGCATAGTTAACTTAAATAAATAAATATATTGAATTTGAGAGATAAACTAGTCTTTTCAAATCAGAGACATTATAAATGTTGTGAAAATATCATAATTTTTTATATCATTAACTAAAGAAACTATCTGGAACTAACCAAACATAGATCAACGGGGTAGTATGATTTTAAAGCTGCCGATAAAGTCTAACATCTAAAGAGTATTAGTATGAGCGCAAGACAGTGCAAAACAGAGTTACAAAATGTGTGTACTAAAAACATTATCAAATTAAAATAAAAATGGCCAATGCATTACTTTTAGTGCATGGACAATGCGGAGAGAAGCGACGGCACAAATCAAATTAAATTAAAAAAAAAAAAAATACTTTCCTTAAATTGTAAATATTGATATTCAGATAAATAGATAATGCAGCTATTGTTATGAACAAAGGCAAATACTTTGTTTCTTGGACCGAAACTGAACAACATCAACAAACAACGAGCGAACGAACGAACGAACGAATGAGACGAGCAAATGCAAGTGATGGATAGCTTTTGATTTTTTTGTTTTAATTTTTTATTTTTTGTTTAATGTTCTTCTCAGAGACTTTTAGGTCTCTGTAAGATATTCCTTTTAAATTTGAAGCAAAACACATACCTTGACATTGATAGCCTTGTTTACCAATTCCCCTGCAAAAAGGCAAGAAATTCCGTGGCTATTGCATATATTTCTTTTATAACTGAATGATGTGTGTTTGTTTTGTTGTGTGTGCATGAATTTATGCGAAAAATAAACCAAAAAGGAAGTAAACCCGCAGCTCGAAACCAAAGAATGAAAGTCAAAAGCAGATGTATGTATGTATGTATGAGAGACCAACCGAGACCAGTGAAAGAATTGCAGCTGCATATGGCAAATATAAAACCCTCAAATTAAGGCCAGTTATGTGAAAATGGTTAATCCAAAGAAATATTATATAAATTAAGGAAAAAAACCTAAGTTTAGTATAGCTAAGAATACGTGGTGGAACCCAAAATTGTGAATGTTACGTTTGCAATACATTGAAATCGAGATATATTGAAATCAAAAATAAAAATATATAGTTATAAATAAAATAAATCAAATCATAAGAGATAATAGTAATGACAATGCTATGATGTGTGTGTTTTGTAAATCATATAAAGAACCCAAAAATTATACATATATATATGTATTTATAGATAAATATATATATGCACTTATATTAATCACTGCAATTACAACTCAAGAATGATACTGTAGATGGACAGTCTGTCTGTGAGGGCGCTCAGAGCGCACCTACATATATGTGATATTAAATGCGATATTTTATTCACTCACCAAATAAACTCCCGACAATGTGAACAGAAGGTCGGCTGGCGCAAGAACGTGGCCATAAACTTATGCCCGTTGACCTATGGGAAAATAAATCGATTGATTAGTTTATTGCCAATTATGATTTGTGCAAACTATTTACTTGATGCACACGACGGCGCATAGCACCACGGCGTCGATTGAAGCCAGCGCGTTCCTTGAACTCCTTATTAACTGCCACAGTCTGCTCCACCTCGGCATCCGCTTTAGCTTGATCTGAAAAGTCTAAGAGATTATACTGTTTCTCCACAGAATGATAGTAATTAACTAACCATAATGCTCATGCCTACCATTGCGGCTCTTCAACTCGATTATGACGTGGATCTTGCCCTGTGGTTCCAGGTTAATCTGCAAGACAAAAGATTAATATTTATATGCGAACGATTGTGTGACTACCATACTTTCACCTTTAAATTAAATAAGTGGTTAAAATAATAAAATGTTAACTAAAAACATAAATAAAACCCTACTCATAAAAAGTTCTCAATTTAATTAACATAATAAAAGATCCCTATAAATTTGAAAAATTTTAACTAAATTGACAAATGCCTGTCAAATACTACTTGATTTTCAAGACTTTTGAATAATTAAAAAATTCGTATTATCTTTAAAATAGTATTAAATAATAATAATAATGCTGGAACCTCAGTATTTTTGAAATATTCTAGGTATATTATTTAATATTAAAATATACCAGCTGAAATTTAAATTCATAAAACAATTAATTTACCCATAGATCCGGAGCACCTGACTCGCTTTGCATTAAATCCTCGAAGGGTATAATGCAATTGGCAACAAAGTCATCCGGTGGCAGGGCCGCATCATGAAAAACAGTTAAGTTGATATTACGTGCGTTGGTCACGTCGTGGACGAACTGCTCGTTCCATACCGGATCGAATGTCTTTGGTCGGGTTGTCGAACGATCTATGTAAGAATATTTGGCATAAGGATAGCTGTTATGAAAATTGATAATTTGCTTACCAAAATGACTCTCGTCGACATCTATGGACACGTAGGGATCGATCAGCTGCTCATCGGCCAATTTGCCAAACGTTAAATTGTGGCGCTTTTGAAAATCTGTTGGACGCAGGCCGCTCGCCTCGCAAACCTTAATCTGAAGTTTACCCGTAAACATTTCGCTGATTGATTCAGCCGCACTTGTAGCTCTCTTGTGTTTGTGTTGTTGTTGATGCTGTATCGATCTGGATCTTGGCAGGATTTATCGGCAGCGCCGCGTCAATGCGGCAGCGGTGGTTACAAAACGGTTTCGATCAGTAGGGTGTCTGCCAATTGAGAGGTATTTGAAGTTGTACTACAAATAAATAAACAAGTCGATTGATGGAAAACAGTTGAAAACAGTTATCTTTCAGCACTTAAAAGACTTTTAGTATAGGTCAATGACACTCTTGAATGTGTTTTAAATATATATACACACATAATACACGTTTGCATGTATGTATGTATGTGGGTACATAGATGCTCAAGTGAATTTTATAATACATGCTCAAACGAATTTCAAGGTCGCACTCAAATTGACATTGGTGAAAAATGGGAGCACAACAACAAAAACCACAGCAACAATTACAGCAACGCACATATTCTTAGACACTGCACTTCCGTTCAGCATTGAGATTTGAGTTAGTCAGCATTGGAATTCACTGGCTGAACGAATTATGAAACGTACAAGAGATAATCACACACAATTCTGTATTTATATGAATGTATTTTAAAATGCCTGTGCATGTTTTGATATATGTCTGTACACGTGTATTTTTATAGACTTAGATATGTATAGTTGAATTAAAAGTTTCCCTTAACAAAGTTCACGTTGTTGCCTAGGTTTAATTTACTTTTACATATTCGCATACAATACAAATGTTTTTATTTTATTTTGTACTTTTTATGTATTTACTACCTTTAACTCATAAACACACGCACACACAACCAGAAACGAACACAAGTACTCGGACAGTGCATACATAGCAGCAGTAGCAGATATTTTTCACAAATAAAACAACAAAGAAAGAATAACAAGCAATCCTAATACCTCTGCGCTAGCCCCACACCCCGACACCCCCACCCACACCCACAACTTGTATCGCATTTGCTAGCCCAGCGTACACACGGGCGTAAGCTCTCGCTCTCTCTCTTTTTTTTTATCTTTTATAAGAACACGAGAAATTCTCATGCACACACTTACACATACGCACATCAATACACGTCCACATTCCAGCACAAACAATACACACTAACAGCGCAAAACAGCAATAGACAGCAAATGCAAATTGCACAAGTGAATTTGACAATATGACAATTGCGACTAGTGCGTTAATTTACAATTACCGTTAAATCAACAAAAATACCACTTGAAAACTTATATGAACGAGAGTATGTGTAAGAGAATGAGTGAGAGAGGAAGAGAGAGCGCGCAGCTTCGTTAAAAAGCAGGGCAACAGAGAACTAACCGAAAAGAACCAAACAGACAGGCGCAGTACATGAATGACCCAAATATGACAGTGCACACTGGTTGGGAACATGTTTTCGCATTTTGCATAGATTCATTACTTTCGATTTCAAATCAACGAAAGTAAATTCTTAAACGATATAAAGATGCAACTTTAACTTATGAGATTTCTTTATTTTTCATAATCTAATAGTTTTTATTTTATTTTATGATATTTGAAATTTAATTAAATTATTTAAAAATTAATATTTTATCTAGTCTATTAAGAGCCAGCTGTGCGAAGAGTCTGTCATACATATTATTGAAAGAGCTTTGACAAAGTACAGAGCAGACCTTCAGGGAAATCGGTGGACATTACTTTATATTACACCTCAATTACTTACCTTTTCTCGCAAGGGTACCGTGGCTGTGGCTCTGCGCCGTGCTGCTCTCTTCGCCTTGCTTTTTGTGCGCTCTCGATTGTTGGTATATTAGAGAAAAATGTTCAGCTACATACATGTGTATGTACATATATACATATGTGCGAAAAAATTAAGGATGGCACATACACAGGCACAGCACACACGCACACACATACGCAAACAGACACCCTGTTTGCTCAATTCCAATTGGAAATTATTTCAAGGAATTTTTGCCTTTGCGTTTGACAGTGGCAATATGTTTACACTATTTTCTCACACAAACACACTTTCCAGCATTTTTCGACAATAGAATTTCATTTCTGCGCACGAATAATTAAAGCAAAAATAAAAATTATTTATCGTCTCTCGCTCGCCTTCGCCTTTGACAATTACACAGATCAGTGTGGCTGCATATCTGATGCTAAGAAATACCAATTTAATTTTGCAAATCAGGATTGACGACAACCAAAAATACTAATTTAACAAACTGTTCAAGAAATTATTTCAAGTATCATTGTTATTAAATTAAACAAACTTTATCATATTTTTGCTATTACATTAAGCTGATTTAAAATTTTACTCTCAACAAACTTATTGTTAGCTGTCAAATTAACCAAACAGCTGATTTTTTAGTTTGTGGCAACTCTGCTTGTTTTCTAGATATTTCCCTATTCATTATACTGTCAGGATTTACTGATTTTGAATACTCGCGACTAAAATATTATTCTTTAATTTCAACCAAAAGTTCATTCACAAAATGTCGCTGCGATTTGATTGGTATCAATCAGAGACCAAGGTGGTCATAACAGTACTCTTAAAAGGCGCTATTGAGAAAAATTATGCCGTCAAGATTGAACCACAAAAAGTTCATATGACTGCAGATGGACATGAATTGATCCTAAATCTTCTGCATCCCATCGTTGTGGATCGATCTTCGCATAAAGCTTTTTCTACAAAAGTGGAAATAACATTAGCTAAGGAGACTGGTGTGCGCTGGGAAAGTCTTGAACAGAAAGCCGAAGTTGTTAAAGTGCCCACTCGCCAAGCAAAGAACTGGGATCGTCTAGTCAGCGAAGAGGAAAAACTTGACGAGAAGGAAGCAAAAGGCGAAGCCGCTTTAAATCAACTATTCAAAAAGATCTACAGCTCGTCCTCACCGGAAGTTCAAAAGGCCATGAACAAATCGTTTTCTGAATCTGGCGGCACTGTTTTAAGTACTAACTGGAATGAGGTTTCCAAGGAAAAGGTCACTGTCAAGCCGCCTGAAGGCACCGAATTCCGCCAGTGGGACAAGTGAAATTGAAAGTCCCGCAAATTCATATCCATTAAGAAGCCTAAATATAACTACAGACACAGAAATGATTATGTTAATTTAAAAAACTAATATATAATGAATAAATTTAATAAATTGGAGCTTAACTTTACTAATACAAGCGCATCTATTATTTCTTACAAATATTTATCGGTGTGTGTGTGTGTTGGGGGTGGTAGTACTCAAAGGGGAAATTTTTAAGTTGAACAGCTGATCGACTACCGGCGATGTGCAGCGACGCACAGTTTATTTTTTTACTTTTATAACTACAGACGAACTTGCAATTAGCACGAGACAATATGTATAGAAATTTAGAAGAACACAATCGGCTAGTCAATAAATATCTAAAGATATTTTTTGTTGTAGCATTATATTGGTAAGTATCAGATAATCAAAGAATCCAATTGTATTTGTATGGTAACTTGTACACGTTGTCCTTACCAGGTGCACTTCCATACTGACAGTATTTGTTAATAAACATCTGTTGAGCAGCGATGCGGTTAATTTGGGCGCACCACTTTTCATGTCCTGGTATCAGTGTGTTGTATCCACCATCATATGCTTTGCAATGAGTCGCCTCAGTCGCAAATATCCGAGCGTGTTTACATTTCCTGAGGGAAATCCATTGGACATTGACACCTTCCGAAAGCTACTCCCGCTAACAGTGCTCTACACGCTCATGATCGGTGCCAATAATCTGTCGCTTGCTTACGTCACGGTCGCCTTCTATTACATTGGGCGCTCCCTCACCACAGTGTTTAGTGTGGTGTTAACATACCTGATCTTGCGACAACGCACAAGTTTCAAGTGCTTGGTGTGCTGTGCCACAATTGTGTTGGGCTTTTGGATGGGTGTGGATCAGGAGAGCCTAACACAATCATTCTCCTGGCGTGGCACAATATTTGGTGTCCTCAGCTCTCTGGCTTTGGCTATGTACTCTATACAAACGAAAAAGTCGCTCGGCTATGTCAACCAGGAGATATGGCTGTTGAGCTACTATAATAATCTGTACTCTACAGTCCTCTTTTTACCTCTCATTATTCTGAACGGTGAGCTGGGTACGATTCTGGCATACCCACACCTGTGGGCACCCTGGTTCTGGGCGGCAATGACGCTCAGTGGATTTTGTGGTTTTGCCATTGGCTTTGTCACAGCTTTAGAGATAAAGGTTAGTGAGTCAACGACAATGTTATTGCTAAAGGTATGTAGTTATCAAACATCTGCTGATTACAGGTTACTTCACCGCTAACGCACAACATCTCCGGCACGGCTAAGGCGTGCGCACAAACAGTTATTGCCACGCAGTATTACAACGATGTGCGCTCCGCGATTTGGTGGGTTTCGAATATAGTCGTATTGGTTGCAAGTGCAGCTTACACTCGGGTCAAACAATTGGAAATGGCGCAGCAGCACCAGCAGCGAAACGCCGCAACATTGAAAGCATAATATAATATTTCCCATTATTCGATTCAGTTTCAAAGAATTTAAAGCATTCATGTATCTTTCTATCTGCGCACCACTATATATAGTGCAATTCTTCAGTGCTCTAATCGTGCGCATTGTGTTAGTGTATGTAAGTTGAAAAAGTGTCATGCGTCTAATTCCCCTTATTGTCATAGCACACAAATATCTTTTGATCTTTATATACATACGTATATAAACCTATATGTAAGCGATAAATAATTTAATTTAAGAGAACCTAACGACGGATAAAGCAGGGAATGAAAACGTTCCTTTAAATTATATTTTTAAACTATGTTTTCCGACTTTCAATGCGCAACAGGATTATTTAGCAATAAAGCAACCAATTATGTGAGTACACAATAATAAATTATGAACTAATTTGACGCAGCTGCCGCTTCCTTTGATTCTGGTACTGGTTCTGCTTGCTGCTTGGCTTCCCTACTAGCTTTGGCAGCGGTTTTGTCGTAAAACTCGGGTATATATACAAATGGATCAATCTTCAGCTGTTCACTGCTTGGTGGGCTCTTAAGTAGTACGCGCGTAATGAAGCGTCCATCTCGCTTGGGTCGCATACTATTTACATCTTGCAACAGAAAACGTATGTTCTCCTCAAGATGCTGTGCATCCATGTCCAGAGTACCCACATTAGCTTTAATTAAACCAAAGTTTTGCTGGTATTCATCTTTAGTTGCGCTGTAGCTGATGCCATTTGAGAATTTTATAACCATTTCCGCAAGGTTCACACCAAGTGTCTCGCTTTTTGGGTTGGGAAACTTGCGCTTCATCAAGCCTCGGAGTGCAACGAGCTCGGGCAGAATGTTGGGATGCGCAATAATGAATTGATAATCAGACAGCAGCAGCTCTCCAGCTGTTATGTCCTTAATCAGCTCCACGCCACCCACAAGAGTAGCGCCTGCTTCGCGAGCCTCAACAATTTCTTCCTGAAATTATATTTGTGTATTAGCATGCAAGTAATATTTATTTGTTCATCGTCAACTTACATTGCCCTTGGTGAATACTATGATCTTACGCTCCTCGCCGTGATTAAACTTATGTGGTATCATGGCCATGCGCTGGAAATTATCCACAAATCGTGTTGCCTTTTCACCTTGCATATTCAACTCAATTTCCACGTTCAGCGAAGCATTTGGGACATTATACATGGTTGGATGATGTGTTTCCCTATGGCATTGTATGGCCTCAGCTACGGTGTAAACCGGCCAGCGATAATAACGTCCCACGTAGACGTCATCTTTGGGCACCTGCTTCCAAGAGTCGTCCACGTGTTTATCAGCGCGTTTAACGTTAATTCTAAAAAAAAATTATTAATTAAGAGACATATGTCTGTGACTTGGTATCTTGTCACTTACTTCTTGTCACGCTGATTGTGAGGAATGAATCCAACTTTCTTTACCTCCACTTTAACCTTTTTTTTACGTGCCTTCTCACGGGTGCCTTTGCGTGCGGCTTCGGTGACCGCGGTCAGGTGCAGGCAGCGCAATGCCTCTCCCGTTTGTTGCCGCACGGCGAGGGCACGCATTGTTGATATAAGTGTAAACATTTCTGTTATGAATATTATTTTAAGTTCTGAAGTTATTGTTAAGTTATAATTATATAATATTAACTATTCCCGGCTGTTCCGAACAAAACCATAACAGAAATGCAGAGTGACCAGTGCGCAATCGGGAAATTATCGTTCACAAAGTTATCGATAGCAATTCAGATGTTGAAATTGAATCAAAACAATTAGCAGAGTTATCAACTAGCTAAGAAATTCATACCAAATGCTCTCAGAATTAATTTTTTACACAGTGTCATCTTAAAATGTTTAGTACTCTGTAAATTCATATTGAAATTAATATTTTATGACCATTGTTTTCAACAAAGTGTTATTTATGGCACGATGTGCAGTAATTTCAATTTTAATCCAAGCTTTGAACCTAGCTTAGTCAGTGATTGATATTTTGGGAAATTTAGCAGAGTCACTTCTCATAAAAATCAGTTATAAATTTTTATAAGGAATTTTTCAAATATAATGTTATGAATTAAATCTAAAACGAAAAAATAAATTTGAAATAAAATAAAGTGTCCAATTCTCATTTTCTTTCATCAATTTGATAGAGAACAAATTAAGACGTTCGAGAGCAATACTCTCAACGGCAAGTATATATAAAACAAAATCTTCAGATCTTCTCAAAAGCACGCCAATCGCTGACTGTGTGCTCAGAATAGATTCGACCAACGAACGGCATAATACGGTTTTCGCGGCGTGAAAAAATCGCGAAAGAATCTCAAAATACAGAAAAAAAAGGAAATTCTGTGGTGGGGCGGATGATTGTGTGCATAACAAAAGTGCAAGTAATTATTTGTTGTTTTAATATTATGCAAATTTTTACAAATAACGACGGACAGCAAATACCAGAAAATCATCTGCACATTTATATATTTTAGTCTGCTTTATGCCCCGAAGAACATAAAACTGAAAATTGTGTATTCAATGTGGCAATATCTTTCATATAGCATTCTGAAAGTGGCGAAACGAACGCCTAGTGAAAGTAATGGGCATTAAGATATACACATGATGAGCTCCACTCGCAGACAAACGCATGCACGCACCCACACATGCATACATACATACATAGTCATGTATATACACACACGCCCATATCCATTGCTGCATCTTGGGGGCCACATTTCTCCCAAAAGTTGGAAATATTAATTGCGTGTAACCTAAAAATGAAATATTGGAAGTGTGCACTCCTCACAAACTGGGAATAGCAGTAGGTGGAAGATGGAGGGGGTATGCCTCAACGAAGTGCCTTGGGTGGGGGAGGCCAAACAAAAGAGTGTCAGCAATTTAAAAATAGTTTACGCCATTGTTTCTATTTATTGTGATTTAATGTTATATTTCATGCGGCTGTTTGTGGTTTGGCTTGTCGATTGCTAGCTGGATAATAATATATTTGTACAACAAATTGTGGCATCAAGTGCATTCGCAACTTGTGGGGGGGCTTCAAATCGTTTTGTTCCGATCCGTTCCGTTTATTGACCACAGAGGCGTAAATATTTTTTCAAATATTTCCAAAACTTTTGCACATGTGGCGAAACGTGCTAAAATTTCGTTTTTCAAATTTATTGTTTATTTCATGTATTTTAAGCGTTACACTTTAAGGCATTTCAAATTACCCCATATACGATACGTATACAAAAGTCTGCCAATTTATATACAAACACATACATATACATATATGTATATTTATAAGAGGGTGGACTGTGTACGGGTGTGTGTGTCTGTGTGCTTGTGTTTTGGGTTACTGTGTGTATGGCGGACGTTCCACATTTGTCTTCCTCTTTTATAAACAAATTTTTGATTTCGATAATTCGTGGGATATTCTTGTCTTGCGTGTATTTCTAGTGGCGTATCTCTCCGAGTAAACAAACAAAAGCCAATTGAGCATTTCAATACGCGCATAGACACACATACATATACATATATATTTATGTAAACCGAAGTGGACTTGCGCTGGTTTCTCAACTTGCAATGGAAGGAGCACCACCGCCAAAGCCGCGTCGGACACGACATAGAATCAGTGCCATGCACTATGAGTCCTTGCCCACGGCTCCGCCTGCCATGTGTGGACGGACCGATGAGAACATCTTCCAATTTCCCGCTGTGGCCTCACGGGCACGCAATCTCTCTGCTTCGCCCAAACTGCGCGAGGAGAAGGATTTGCCCGTGTGCGAGCATGGAAAGCACAGTTGTAGCTTCTGCCAACCTTACCGAGCGGATCGTGGCACGATTGAGCCGCTCAAGAATCGGCTGAACACTGCCATTGAGGCCATGGATCAACTAACTCGCACGTGTGCAATGCTTGAGGGCCTGCTGGAGCAGAAACTGGCCACCATCACGGACAATGACGAGGAGTCGGCAACCGAAATGGAATCGGATAAGATAGCCCTTAATGCTGCTTCAACTTCAACTTCAACCTCCACTCTGACTGCAGCAACTGCTCCTGCTGGTGCAGAAGGTCCAGCCACATCCACACCCACCGCCGACACCGAATTCGAATTGGAGCACACGTTGACCTGGCTGGAATCCCTATTGGGCACGGAGGTGGTGCCACCCACAAAGCATGGCAAATTCAAGCGGTATGTACATATTGAAATTCGATATTCCACGCTGGGGTAAGCCGTGATTCCGCACCACAGAATACGCGAGCGCAGTAAGTCCATGATGGAGGAAGAGATAAACATGTATTTAAAGGGCGACCGGCAGCTGAAGAACTCCTCTCGGCCATATTTGCTGCGCCGGCAGAGCACCTACAGCGACAACAAGTCCAAGGTCTCCAAGTGGACCAAGGTGAAGGCGGCTTTCAAGTGGGAGCGTGCCAATGTGCCGCCCACAGCTGCTCACGATTCCAACACATTGATGCCACTCAATCTGGAAGTAGAAAGGTATATCAGATAATTATGTCCAACAATATATAATCTAAGCTAAGTCCATAATCTCTTCTAGGTATTTAAAGGTGCCAATAAGCGGCGCTGGCGGCAGCAGCTCCGCGGACAGCATCATCAGCTCCTCGTCGGGACACTTTTTGAGCGAAACGGGCGGCACTCCTGGCACCATCAGCTCGGCCAGCTCCTTGGATGAGCTGCAAGTGGATGCGGGCAGTCGCCAGCCAATGCGTAAATACCTTCCAAACTGCTTTCATACATTTGCTTGTTGCAGCTTCCACTCTCATTACAGGACGACATTCTTCTAAGGGTGACACGCGCCCCTCCAGCTACGAAGTGGAGCTGCGTAAGTCGGCCACGGATGAGCGCTTGGATGCGGCCAAGTGCACGCTGCCCAGCAAATCGTCATCGAACAAATCTCTACGTCGCTCGCGAGCCTTCTCGGACTTTGAGGTGCTACCCGAGGATCATGTGGCGGACATTAAGGCGACGACCAGTCGCCGGAACAAGCTGCCGCCCAGTCCGCTGAATCTCAATCAGGTGTGCAGTGATCTGCCGCAGCTGCATTCGCCGCTTAAGAGTCCCAAGGATGGATCACGTATGCGTCAAGTGAACTCGCCGGGCAACTCCTCGGTGCCGAGCAGTCCATCCAGGCATTCGGATTTCTTTGGTGAATTTGGTGGGTGAGCTGTTTGTTGGCTACCATGTTAGCGGTATCCATTAACGTCTGGCTTTACAGAGAGCGAGGAGCTATCAAGTGGAGTTTCCTCGGAGCCCACGACGCCAAACTGTAAGACTTTCACACAGAACGAAGATGAAGTATTTCAACATTATCAACTTCTACTACTCAAACTAGATATGGAGTTCAAGCACAAGCAATGCGAACTAAAGCGAGCTAGCGCGAGCAATCGCAGTAAGCCACACGACAGACCTTCAGGTAATCCACCGACCACGCCTAATCCCGATTCCATTCCAGGCGTCAAGCTCAGCAGTGGTGGTCCGGGCAGCGTCAGTGGCAGCGGCAAGCGCAGCAGCGAGGAGCATTCACCCACGCAGCTGCTGCACAGTGATCTTATGTCCACCGAACAGCTCGAGCAGAATTTGACGCCGCAGTTCAAGAAGAAGCTGCACAAATGGCGGGCCAAGCAGCAGAGCTCCAATTGCTATGTCAGCTCCGAGCCAGCGGCGAGTCCCACAGCCAAGAGTCTTAGTGGCGGCGATATAAAGCCCAAAATCGACTGGAATCTTTGGAGCTCGGGTGCCCTGAAGTTTGAGGGTCAGGGCCTGTGCGCGCTGCCAGACCAAAAGGATTTACCTGAAAAGTTTCAAAAGAAGCTGGGTGAGTCCACAGTGGGACGTGCGATTGAGATCTTTGCTAATCGTAAATGTTTCTCTTCAGAGCAATGGAACCGCCTGAAGTGTACGCCAGCCGGTGGCACCAACTCTGACAATGATTCCCTCAAACGTAGCTCCAAGCACAATCAGTCCAGCCGGCGAGGCTCTGATGATGATCGCTGGTACAAGCACAAGCCGCACGAAAAGGAAAAGTGTGTATATAGTAAATATCCCAGCCTGGTCAGTTTCTATTTATCTTACTCGCAGATTGGCACGCCTCAAAGCCATCGTGGCACCGGATCATACATCTAAGAATATTGAGGTGAAGACCTCAGATGGCGAGGTGAGAAAATTCGAGGGCATCTCTCGCAAATTTACACGCAAGCTTTACGAGTGGGAGAAGGCCAGAGGCATTGGACCGGAGGCCTCCACCTTTGCACTGCTCCATCCTGGCTACAGTCCTTTATATGTGGGCCTCATCAACAAGGAGTGCAATAAGAGTGAGTCCTATTTGGCAAGTATAATATCATATCATATTCATATTATCTCTTTTATGTAGACAACCCCGAACACTCACCGACGCTGAGCCGCTCATTATCCCTGGATAGTGTGGCGCCCAACGGCAATCAGGCACCGGTCATATCGCAGCAGGCCTCATCCTTGTCGCTAAACGATGTTAACGATTTTAAGGAGATGCAGGACTGCACAGATTCGGCGGATCAGGAGTTCAAGAAGTACGACGAGCCCGAGGCAGTAATGGTCGAGGTGGAGGAGCACATACACGACACCGCCTCACCGCTGGTTACCGCCCACACTCTGGTCGAGCAGCAAACGCCCATCTACAAGTACGAGGAGGTGCAGTGCAATGACTATGTGTAAGTGAATCCATTTATTGACTAGAAACGAATTTAATGACGCCTCGCCTATTTATAAACCCCTGCAGCAACTCGCGTCGGGTTCAGAGCTTTGAGTCGCACACGAACCTGGCCCCGCTGCTGGGTGCACTGAAACGTGCCGACGAGCTGTTTGTCCGGCTCAAGCAGGCCACCGCCGACATCGTGGAGCATGTGGAAATGCGGGATTGCCAGGCGACCTTGCTGAGCATTCGCAGTATTTATCTATACTACTCGAACAATTTGATGAAGCCGAACGTGTTGAATGCTGTGTCCGATGTTCAGAGTGACCTGGGCCGTCTGGCCGAGCTGGTAGGTGCATTTGGCCGGGACGAAATTCGAACTGTAATGTGCTTGTATACTGCAGATTGTGAAGTCGCCGCTGGATGAGGCATGTTGTCAGGAGACAATGGCGGAGCGCACGACCGAGTACTTGGAGGAGCTTCAGGGTCTACACGAATCGCTACTTTGCCTAAAGTTGAGCATACGTAAGCCTCCCTTTAAATAGCCATGTGCCCTTTCATTACCAACCATTATTTTCCATGCAGAGGGCGGTTCGACTCGTTTCCCCCGTGACGTTGTGCCGGACATCAACATAACTGCCGAGGACGGGCAGCAGCTGGAGAGCAGCTCTACGTATGCCACTGGCGATGCTTCTAGTCGCGATCATCTGACGCTGGATGAGCACAGCGCCGCCTCGCCCTCCCCTTCGCCCAGGGAGCACGAGACCGAGACAAGCACCACGACAGGCACTCTCTGCCGAGCGAGCAGCTCCGTGACTGCATCGAAGAAAAAGCTGCGCCTGCGCAAGATGGGCTCGCGCCAGAATAGCAAAACCGAGAGCGATAGCAGTGATGCGGATTCACAGAGTGTGCTGGAGACACCGCGACGCATACGCCGCAAGAACTTCCGGCTGAAGCAGCGATCACTAGATGATGATTTTCGCCTGAGCTCTGTGACAACGGCTGGCCATGCGCCATCGGCCGAGCCAGAGGAAATCATTTGCAGTTCGCTGAAAGTGAAGCCCGGCGAGCGCATCGAGGAGTCACACAGCATTGCCAGCAGTATTGCCCAGCCGATTGCCAAGCAAACTGGCTTCGTGCCACCGCCGCTGCCCGAGCAGCATGCACGCAGCTACAACACCAATGCCAATGTGTTTGTGAAGACCAAGCGCAAGCTGTTCACTGCAGTGCCGAAGCCCAATGCTGCCGAGGGCATAGCTCTCATAGAGAAGGAGCTGGAGAGCCCCACCTATAGCGTCGAGGAGGCACAGTCACCCAAAACCAAGGCGCCAACTAAGCCGACTGCGCCACGTCCGCTAAGTCTATATAAATCCATCAGCCTGGAGCGCTTGTCGCCTCTGCGAGCCAAGGATGAGCTGCGCAAGTGCCAGAGCGCCAACGATGTGCATCGATCGTCCATTCCGGTGCGTGCTCCACTTGCTAGCGATAGCATTAAATGCCTGACGCGCTCGAAGCGTCACCTGGGCATGCCCGCATTTCCCCAAGTGCCTCCGCGCAAAGCGCATCTCTACAAGAAGAACTCGCTGCACAAGTCGCAGAGCGCCACAGTTGGCAACAACATTGAGCACAAAATTGCCAAGACCAGCTCTGGATCCTCGGTGAGCAAGGCCTGGCCAGCAGCGACGTCCATAGTATTGCCCAACAAGCAGGACAATACGCTACCGCGCATACAGCGCAAGCTGGAGGTCAAGGGAAAGGTTATGCACACCCCAACCAAGGCGAAGCATTTCGAGTTTCCAACATCCATTATGGAGCCCCAGCGTCCGATGACGCCGCTCTCCGAGCGCGCCTTGCGACTGCAGCAGGCCAAGGCAGAGTTTTTGCAGAGTGCACCAGTGACGCCCAGGCAGGAGCCGCTGACTCCCATAGCTGTGAACGATGTGACCTTGCACAAGAGCGTCAGTGCTGGCAGCATGCGGGGCGATGTGGGCTGCTCGACAGAGCAGCTGCAGCAGCGATCACAACAAGAAGTGACTACGGATCAGGAGAGTGTCAGCAACTCCAGCGCCTACGATAGCTTGCCGCGCGCTGTCACCCGCTCGGCGCGGATCTCCAGCAAACTGGGCTTTGCCACGCTGGCCTCCAAGTTGCGTCGCGGCGGCAAGAAGCCCAAGGATCCACCGGCTCCCATGCCGCCGGGCAGTGCACTGTCCGCACTCTGTCGCCAAACACTGATGGCCGATTTGGTCATTGGTGGCGAACGCCCACCACCCAGTCCCTCGGCGTCCACATCCACGCCCGCTCGCAATGTGCTCAAGTCTCAGAGCTCACCACAAGCGGCCATATCGAATTTGCATGCCAGCTACGAGGGCCTCAACAAATCCCTAAGCGAGCAGTATGTGCGCCAGCTCAAAGAGAGCGACGTCTAGTCAGCGCTATAAAGAAGCACCTCAGTCCTCTAAGTCTAGATCATCAGATTGGCTACCAAACAGCTTACCAAATATATTATAAAACACAATACTAAACACAAAATGTCTATTTCATAATTTAGTTAAAGCTGAAACTATCTGCTCATATGTGGACTCTTATGGACATTGTAAAAAAGGCTCAACTTCTTTTATTCCCAGGATTTTCTAGTTACTTCCGAAGTAAACATAGTTACGTATTTACACTTTTCTCGTATTTACTTTGCACAGACTTGGTCTCCTCAAATATGATCAACTAAGCAGATTAATCTAACGATGGTCGACGTAATCATCGTCGATGTTATCGGTGTCATCATCATCATCCTTTCCAAGATCGTTTTCCTGATCAATTTTCACGGGCTCTGCACCGGTGTTCCAATAGCGTTCGTTCTCTGGCTTGAGGAAATCGTATTCCGGCTTATCTGTGTCCACAAACGTAATGCATACCGTTAGATTCTGCACAGTCTCAATCATTTGCGGAATGCTATCCTTAAATTCCAAGCCGCATTGCACCGACTGCATAGCTGCGCCTGGCAGCTGATTGTTGATTTTGTCGTAGCCAGCGATGCCCACGGCGATAATGTCGTGCAGCCGGCGTAGAGCTGTGAATACGTTTAGTGTGCCGGAGAGTATTTTGCCCATCAATGTTTTCTTGGCGGTTATCTTTTTGTAGATGCTAACTAGCTGCCTCACGTTTTGCTTGATCTCCTTGACGGACGCAACAGTTTCATCCTGGATTTTCAGTATCAGCCCCATGGTGTAGGTGTAGCAATCAACGCCGCCGTTGATGGCATGCAGGGCTTCCGTAAACTGCGGCACATGCGAATAGCTGCAATAGGCGGCTTGCGAAACACGGCCCCAGGTGTGCCACATAGCCTCCAGCCCGGCAATGGCGGCCATCACAATCTTCGGCTTGTTCAACTTCAGCAGATTGATTTCCAAGTCTGTGGCGCGTGCCACAAGTTGCTCAATGCCCAGCTGCGATTCATCGATTAAATCCTGCAGTATGTCCAGCAGATCCTGCAACTCCAACAGCTCCTGCTCAGTCAAGTCACTGCTGGGCTGGCCCACCATCTCCTCCAGCGAAGGCAGCCTTGTGTCGTACTCAATGATGGGCTTGTAGCTTAAATAGCCCTTAAATTGCTCTCGAAATTCATCAAACACCTTCGCATAGGTGGCGTCCAGTGGCTCAACCTTGGGCAGCTCCACCGGGGCGCTGCCATCGCCGCTCTGCATGGACAGGCTGTATAGATAGTCATACTGCGTTTGCAGCTCGCGATAAAATGGTCGCAAGGCTTCCACTTCTGTGGCAGATAAGTCAAATTCCTTGGCTTGTTGCGCCAGCAGATTACTCATCTCCTGGTGTGCCCAAGAGCTGCCCAGGAGCAGACAGCCAAGCAGAGGCAGCAGCAACGAAATTTTCACCATTTCGCCGCCTCGAATGAAGTTGATCAACTGACACTCAGTCCACTTCGGAACGTTTGGACTCTTTCGTTATCATTGCTATGGACTGTAAATCTTATCAACGACCACCCTTGGATTTTCTTAAATAGTTTGATAAGATGAAGCTAATCTTATTTATGGCTCTCGCGCGCCAATTTGCAACAACAATCAATTTATTTCGGGCTTTAATCTTCAAGTAGTCAATAATAGAACAAAGGGATATCCAAAAAGTTGTTTGAACTAATCGAGCGCTAAAGATCTACATCTACATTTCTTTTTTCTGCGCCAATGTCGAAAAGAAGCTTTGCTAATTTGCCTTGATATATGCTGTCGATCCATTAGTCTATAAAGACATACATAGCTTTAAACAAAATTCTATATTATGAGTTTTGGAGCTAAACATGTATATGACTAATTGGTACCGTAATAATAACCATTAATTGACTATAAATAGGAGCAATCTGTCACCACTTGACTATATATGTCTGTGTATATTACAACTATGTGTCATAACGTGTTTCACTATACAATTTATGTTTGTATTGCTGAAAATTTTCAATGACAAATGACGACAGCTAGAAAGTTAGTAAATATTATTATATCTTATTCTTGCTATCACTTCTGAGTCATGAATATGTATTTTTTTCCAATATTTCCCTAGGTTGGGTTATATTGGCATTTTAGAACAGCCAAACAGAAAGTAAAATGCTTTTTGGAAAGACTTTGGCAGACAACTTTAAAAGCTCGACTAATAAAATAAATTGATATATGAAACCAAATATCTATTTATATATTTTGTATCACAATTATTTATTAATTCTAAAAGGAAAATAAACGCGTAGGCTTTCCCCAAAAATCAAGACGATCGATCATAATTCCTACAGATCCACTAATCTACCAAACAGATCCACAGATTTACCAAAAATATAAAATAAGCAAAGCCAACATAAAATAGTTATATTAAATAGTTTAATAAATGCCTAGTTAGTGTGTAATGATATCGGTCTACTAAATTTGTTGATCTTATCTTTTTGTTTGTTTCAGTTTTTCATCATGAAAATTGAGAAGCTGTGTAGAGCTCTTGTGCTTTATCAATTTTTATCATAACTCGACGGCAATATATATTTGTCACTGCCACTGCATTCGCCAGCAATAGAAACCGAAGCATCATGGGCAGAACAATTCAAATTTTAAGCGTACTCCTGCTGACTTGGGCAGTGAGTATATATTAAGGAAAATGATTTGTATGGCTTCATAATAAGGTTGGCAATTTTATAGTACGCCCAGGCGCAGATCTCCAGCAACACAAACAGCATTACGGAAACAACGGAGACTGCAGACAGCACGGAGACAACGGAGACTACGGAATATGGACCAATTAACATGGTGGTTGACCAGCTATCGAACATGGCCGTGAATATAAGTGATCAGACGTCCACACAGTTGCAAGCGAACATCGAGCGCACATTGGCGAACATATTGGACGATCTGGAAGCGCTGACTGCCAATGCCATGGCCGAGATGAGCATAGCCATCGACGACACGAATCAGGTGCTGCTGGGCAATCCCAAGTGCAACGCCGCCTGGAATCTGCAAGACTTCACACTCAACGTCACAGATGAGCTCAGAGGCTGCACGGAGCAGCTGAGCAATATGATTGCAACGTATCGCGCCGAGGGCCAGCAAGCGTTGGCCAAAGTGCAGAGCTTGGTGCAGCAGATGGCACAGCTGCCAATAGTCTGTCAGAGTCAACAAATGGGCGTGGCATTGGCACCAATGGGCATTAGCTTTGACAACAGCAACACTTGCTTTCTGCGCGGCATCGCTGTCATCAATCAAGGACTAGCTGAGGCCATGCACAACGCCTCCATGTTGCTGGTGCGCATGCGCCGCCTGGCCCAGGATGAAATGGCTCGGTCACAGCAATGCAGCGACGCACTCGTCGCCCAGGTCACTGAGTATCTGCGCGTACAGCGCGCCAATTGCAGTTAAGTAGGACTTGAACTATTCATAAACGACAATTTTCGATTGTATCGTACGCAAATATATGTATGTAATTGGCAATTTATGCACCCAAAGGATACGCTCCAACAGGATGCATTGGACTCATTGGTTATGCATGCGCATTCGTCAGCGGAAAGGGAATTGCAAGCGAAGCGCATTGACATTTATTTGACAAGTTTTTGATTGATTTTACAGCTGCTCCGTTGGCATAATTTTTGGCATGCATCTTTAGTTTGGTCTAAACACGAAGTTCACTTTTCAAACTCTCTTGCATCTAATTTGTATATTTAAATGCCGACTCCTCTTGCCAATTGGTCAATGGGCTTTGTCAGTGACACGTGGCAACACACACGAACTAAACATCAGTCAAACAACGACCAGATAGAGGCAACAGCTGGCCATCGAAAGAGACAGCATTGGCTAGTGGACACTCACTCGCTCGCTCACTCCTCTCTCTCTCTCTCTGTCTCTCTCGCTCGTCAGGTCTACGTTCATGCATTTCCGCAGAGAGCCAAATTATTTTGACCTGCGCCCAAACACTGAGCACAATTTCTCTGCGCTTTGCTTGCAGTTACTTTACTGCGCAATTTGTTGCTCTGAAATTGTTTTCAGTGCATAGGAAACTACGAACAGAAAATTCCTACTTTAGTTTTTTTTTTGGCTCAATGGCGCAATTTTACCCAGTAAGCAAGCATCTGAATTTTATCTTATTTTTACGACTCGTAACAGTTGTTGTTGATGATCGCGGTACTGTTGTTGTTGTTGTTGTTGTTGTAGCTGAAACGCTGCGATACCTATACAAGGCCTACTCCAACATCTGTTGAGCATTTTCTAGACAACTGACGGAACCTGGTGACGAACTGAGCCCAAGACTTTTCCCCAGCTTGAGTTGTCTAATGCCAAGTGAAGGAAAAGTGCAAATTAGAAACAATGTGGGTGTATACGAGCTATCTATATATGAAATCAATTACAATAAGCACATAAAATAAGTATATATGTGTATACATGTTTTATTTTGCTATATGATATTGATTGCCATTAGCTAGTTTCTATAGATAGACACTGCGATAGATTGGAGCAATTTATAGCATTTTGCTTTTTTACGAACACAAATCTTTGATCTGTATTTTTAGCACTTTAATGGCTCGCCGCTGTATTTCATTCAAATATTTAAATATATTTAATTTTTAAATTTGCTGCAGGTCATTTTTGGTGAATATCCAGGTAAAGATCAGTTTCATAGCGAGCTGGCCAACACTTTAACGATGCTCCTTTCGCTGGAATCCCAGCGAATCCCACTTGGCTTGCGCTCTAGTAGAGCTTTCTACTTTTTCCTGAGCAACAATGTTGTTATTATTAATATGATTTTAATCGCTTTGGCCTTGATCCATGCTAATTTTCTCGTCTCTACGAATGCTTCGGCATACACTTTATCGTCTCCCGATTAATGTCTTAGCTTGACTTAATTGAAGTCAATTTTGGACGTTCGTTTTGATTGATGCTGAGCACTATGAGAACTGTAATCGTTGGGCTGCCGCATTTCGCTGCCGCAGGACATTTAGCATTGTCTACTAACTAGTAGTGATCAGCTCCTAGTATATAGTCAGTTTTCGTCTTTGCGGGTTTTGTAACCAACTGGCGCACCTTCGATGCGACCTGCGCATGAGCACAATAAGAAATTATCATTATTATTATTATTTGCTGGAAACGAGCCGCGTGGCGTGCGAGTGAAAGCCAGCCAAAAAGGACTAACCCCGCAGACCGGCAGCCAAAGCGAGATAGAACCAACACTCAAGCCAAGGGGCAACATATGCTGCCCAAGGATCGCTCAGAACAAACGGACGGCGCATGCCGTCATCTGGTGCTACTTTGACTTCAAAATTGGGTAGCATTTGCCGTTGCCTTTCCCGTTCCCGTTCCCGTTCCCGTTCCCGTTCTGGCTGCTGTTGCTGTTGCCGTTCTCCTTTGTGGGCTTGTTTTTGTTGTAGCTGTTTCTTTTACGGTTCGATATTTTGCTCTCTATACATAATTTCAAGGAAGCAGAGAGCTCCCGCTCCCGCTCCTGCTGCCGCTCCTCCCTCTTCAACAGCTAGTGCCGACTTCCGATGAGCACGAGTGAGGAAGAGCGAAGAGTGAAAAAGAGCGGCAAGCGCAACAGCAGGATAAACCGCTTAAAGGACATGGACAGCAGTGCGCCAAGACAAATTGGAAAGGGTTGCTGGCTGATGGACTGCAAGAGTGAGGAAGGTGTGATGCCGACAAGGCTACACAGATGCAGCTCAGTTAACCACTGTCGGGCCTTGGGCTCGGCTTACAAATCCGAATTGAGACCCAAACTCGCGCGCACGCTTCGCAATGCCTAGCTATATGAACACGTGTGCCCAACCAACGTCAGCTGGCCGGGTCAGGAATAGGGCTAACGGCATACAGCTCTTAATACCGAAAAAAGCAAAACAAACCCAAAATAATCATAGAAAAAATGGCGTTTGCCCAATTGCAGAGATATATATATATCGTATTGGAAAATTTATTGATTACCTTTCTAAGATGAATACCGTGACTTTAAGTAAATCGTATATTTTATACCTTGCTGCAATCCAAGAAGAAGAAAAGTCTTGCAATCTATTTCTATAAGTAAAGTAAAGTCAGACATTTCTCATTAGAATGATATTACTTCTAGTTATTATTATAATAAATAAATAATTATACATTTATTATGAATAATATAACTAGATAATATGAATAGAATTCAGATATTTGCTTAATAATTAATTAATAATTTTCTAGTTTTATAGCACAAAATTATGATTCTTTTATAGTCATACGAGTATAATTATTTTGATACATGTTTATGTTTATATTGATAAAATCATATAGAAATGATCAGAACTAGCATTATTTTCACAACTGATAAATTATCAATATATTTAACAAAAGTTACTTCATTTAAAATAGAATTTTGTTGACTAGGTGTAATTTGAAAATATTTGGAAAAACTCAAATCCATTCAGCTGATGCTAAACAAATGGAAGAGAAATTAAAAGAATAAGCTCTGTTTATTTATTAATTAATGTTATTAGGACATGTTGGCAATATTTTCTGATATATTATCTTCTGCGTGAAATTATAACAGATAAAAAACTAATATGTAAAGAAGGGAGTAAAATATGTACGTGTAACTCAAATAGAATAAGTTTAGCATATGTTTTATTTTAATTTAAACTGCAGATGTAAAACAAATTCTATTTTATTCTGTTTATTATTTTAGAAGCTACATTGCCTCCAAAGTAAACTACTTTCTTCTGCGTTCCATTCTCTATTTAGTTCATTAAACATTTGCAAGTTTGTGAGAGAACAATTAGTCAAATGGTCTGCCCTTAAATTAACTATGCAACATGTTGAAGTAAATGTAATAAATTGTAGCGATTAATAAATTACCGATTCCAACGGCGTAGAGAATTCGGGGCTATTTACAAAAAGTTGCGCGGGACACAAAGAAGACGAACATTAAACAACCGCCAGCAAACAAAAACAGAAAGTTGATTTACATGAAAATGCAGAGATATAGAAATAAATAATGAACTTTGGCTGGACGAGACAAATGTAAAATTTAACAGAGCGCGCAATTCAATTAGAGAATCCTGCGGGAATACAAAAAAATTAAGCAATAAAATTTGATTTGGTTCACGCAAATTCAAAGCGATTGTCCAGCATCAAAAGGAGCACAAGGACACGCCGCACCGCGAAAGGGAAACTGAAATAGAGTAATAGCAATGAATCAGGACTTGTGTGTTGGGCAATAAAATGCCTATTCTAAGGTCAAGCCGTTGCCGTTGCTGTTGCCGTTTTCAGTTTCGTTCTCAAATTCGTGTCATAATGTGTTGTAAGTAGTTGCCTTTGTGTGCTGCGCACGCACAAAGGACTCAACGGGACGGCGAATTGTGAGCGCTATTGTTTGGCTGAAGGACCTGCGCCGATGGGCACGATGGGAACACCCGCACGGTTCTCAGGCATCTTGACTACTCTTGGCTGCTCTTGGCTGCTGTTGCAGTTGCGACCACAACTTGACTTGCCCTGACCACCAACATAAAATGTTGACAGCCGGAACACGCCTCTAAAATATTGTGCGAGTCCTGTGCGGTCCTCAGCGCTCGGCTCTTGATCCTTGCAGCCGATCAATGCGCCAATCAATTGATTGCCTGATTTTTGACAGTTATGAGCTGCACTTCGTACGTAATCACCTCACCGCATCCCATATCTTGATTTCCGCCGAAATCCTCTTCAGTGCCGAGTCCCACGGACAATCTCTGAAGTGTGCGCCCAACTTGCCAAGGAATTTATTGTTATTGACATTTTTGTTGGATGGAATCACACGGATTATATCTGCTAATTGCACGTATATCAGATATATCCTTTGGCGGCATAGTGCGGCCCCCTTGATCAGTAATTTTTATTCGTAATTAGTAAAGTTTCGTTTTTAGTGGGCATTGGGATATTGAGCGAAGATCTAAAGATCTAAAGTCGAATTCTATAAATCATATTTGCAATTTAAATTGCCCTCAGCACCTGCTGGCAGGCGCACTAGCACGATCGCCAATCTGAAGCCGCACTTTTCTGAGCGCTTAGGCACAAATGGCCTGGAAAATCACGACTTGCTGCGTCGCCCCGAGGTGATAAAGTTTCGCACATTAATACTTAATTACTTGAATAATTGGGGCCAGGGGATTAAATTCACACGCAGTTCACGAACACACAGGCCAGAACCACTGGCGGGTAGCTGCTTGCAGGTGGACGTTTAATGAAAAAAATATCAAAATAAAAAAAAAACCATAAAGAGGGAGAATAAAAATCACAAGCCAAGTGACCAAAAATTCTCGAGACAGCGGTCAAAACTTGAAGTGATGCCAAAGCCACCGACGTCGTTGACATTAAATTTGCTGCTGTCCTGTGGCATGTTGTTGTTGTAGTTGCTGTTTGTTGTCTGCTGAGCTGGGCTTAAACACAAAATATGAGCGCACCCTGGATGAATTTTTCACACGAAATCCTGATTAATAAATATGTATATAAAAGTACC